CCCAAACCCCAAACCCCAAACCCCAAACCCCAAACCCCAAACCCCAAACCCTGACCCGCCCCTCTCAGATCATCTCGAGCCCCACGGCGGTCCTCTTGTCCAGCGGCAACGAGTGGGCCCGTGCATGGCCAGGCACTGTCGCAAGGTTTGTTACGGCTAACATGTTTGTTCTTGGGTTTAGGGTTTAGGGTTTAGGGTTTAGGGTTTGGGGTTTAGGGTTTAGGGTCTAAGGGCTCATGCAAACCTATGATGAGAATTTACGTTCATATTTGTTGAACTTCTTTGTTTACATATATCTGCTTGTACATTCCTATTTATATCTACTTGCTTGCTTCTTTTCTTTGTTGCTGAAGGGGGTTAGGCATTGTGGGGATCAGGAGTTGCGTGCATGGCGCAGGGTGCGCTCAGGGCTGGAGTGCTTTTCGAGAGTTAAGGGCTCCTCGTGGCTGGGTGGGCTAGTGTTTTTACTCTTCTTGTTAGTCTTTCTGTGGGTTTAGGGTTTAGGGTTTAGGGTTTAGGGTTTAGGGTCTAGGGTTTAGGGTTTAGGGTTTAGGGTTTAGGGTTTTGCAGTTTCGGTTAGAGTGTTAGGACACCTGAGTTTCGTGAGGTTGCTTACGAGTCATGATGAACAGGTCCTATTCTTTGATGTTGTGGTTGTGGTGACGTTGGGGAATTAGGGTTGAGGTGTAGTCTGCGGCTCAAGAAGCAGCCTCAGGGTCTAGGGTCTAGGGTCTAGGGTCTAGGGTCTAGGGTCTAGGGTCTAGGGTCTAGGGTCGAGGGTCGAGGGTCGAGGGTCGAGGGTCTAGGGTTTAGGGTTTAGGGTTTAGGGTTTAGGGTAATCTACCGACCCTCTGCACCCGCTGGCTTGCTTGGCTCACGCCTCTGTGCAAGGATGGCAATTATCGTCCTGTAGGGTTTAGGGCTTAGGGCTTAGGGTTTAGGGTTTGGGGTTTAGGGTTTAGGGTTTAGGGTCACCATAATGGTGGTTGAAAGTATGAAGTTGTAGGGCTTGGGGGTTTGCAGGTCATCTACATGACCCTAAACCTTTAGAGCCCTTTAGAAAAGGCCCTGATGCCTTGGAACCCCCAAACCCTTGCCCTTATTCCCTGGGCCCCCCGACTCACCATGCCTGCCTCAAAAGCGATAGCACCGAAACCCTAAACCCTAGCCCTAAACCCTAAATCCTAAGCCCTAAACCCTAAACCCTAATTAAACTCTAAATCCTAAACCCCGAAACCCGAAACCCGAAACCCGAAACCCTAAACCCTAAACCCTACACCCTAAACCCTAAACCCTAAACCCTAAACCCTAAACCGTCGTAGAGCCTGAGCCCCTTGCATGGCATCCAGCGGATCTGCGCACGGGCGTGCGGAGAGAGAGCTGGTGGTCTCCTGGTCGGCATGCCTTGGGTTGGGTTTAGGGTTTCGGGTTTAGGGTTTAGGGTTTAGGGTTTGGGGTTTAGGGTTTAGGGTTTGGGGTTTGGGGTTTGGGGTTTAGGGTTTAGGGTTTAGGGAGTAAGGTTTAGGGTTTGGGGTGTAGGGTGCAGGTACCAGGGTAACCCTAAACCCTCAACCCTGGCGCTAAACCCTAAGCCACAAACCCCAAACCCTGCACCCTATCTCCAAGACAATGCCTCGAAAGTTTAGGGTTTAGGGTTTAGGGTTACGAAGTCAGTCGGCTCTGAAGAAGCTGAAGCCAAATTTTCCCCTACATCCCTGAAGAAGAAAACCCTAAACCCTCAGCCCTAAGCCCTAAACCCCAAACCCCAAACTGCAACCCCAGGCTCAAGACTCAAAACACCTAGCCCGGAGCCCTTGAAGTTTTGGGCTAAATCCTAAATCCTAAACCCTAAACCTTTTCCCCTAAACCCAATTGTTTGGGATGGAGGGTTTGGGGCTTACGGAAGTTGATGGGGTTTGGTGTCAAAGCAAAGCTCGTATACCTGGCTCACGCCGACGAACACTGCAGGTAGACCTGTACGGCCAGAGTCCTGGACCCTACAAACCCTGAAGCCTGTACACCCGAAAATGATCGTTATACAAGAATGAGCATAAGAACTCAAAATTGTGTAATCATAGCATAGTAAGCATATGACAATTTGGGATGTTCCCCGTTATACTAGCAGTTCTTTTGGGGAGTACCCCCCTAGTACAATCCCTATGAAGGACTGTTCGCATAAGGGGGAACATCCCAACTGCTGTTGAAGACTGTCTGCCCGATGGTCTACGGGTAGTTTCATGGGCCCTTAAGGTACCTAAACCCTAAACCCTAAACCCTAAACCCTAAACCCTAACCCCTAAACCCTAAACCCTAAACCCTAAACCCCTAAACCCCTAAACCCCTAAACCCCTAAACCCCTAAACCCCTAAACCCCTAAACCCCTAAACCCTAAACGGGTTCTGATGTCTGGGCCCTTGGGTTGTATAGGGTATACAAGGGGTACATAATCAAGGGACTAAAGCAGGGACCCCAAAAAGGGACCTTACGGCTCATTTAGGGGTTATTTGAGGGCTACGTAGGTAGATAGGGACTATATAAGGTCTTCTATGGGTTATACAGTTCAGGGTACTTCTAACCCCAATTATAACTGTACCCCTAAGTGTTCTGAGTAGGTTGTAAGTGGAGGTATAGTTGGGGTTACAAGTAAAGTAAGAGATGGGCCCTTTACAGTCCATACCATCTGCGCCCGATCCCCGGGCCCCACCCCGACGTCAGGCACGCACCTGCTTCAAACCCTAAACCCTAAACCCTAAACCCCACACCCTAACCCTAAACCTAAATCCTAATTAAACCCTAAACCCTAAACCGTACCCTAAACCTTAAACCCTGAACCCTAAGCCCTAAACCCTAAACCCTGCTGTGTGATGAGTCCCGTCGCTTCGAGTACGCGAGGGGAGCGTTGAACAGCAGCGAGGGGGTGTCTTCATCCTTAAAGGCGCTGCTTTGAAAAGATGGTTGTCGTCACAACGTCCACATCCTTTTCGGGTGTCGACTTAACCCTTAACCCTTAACCCTTAAACCCTAAACCATCACCCTAAACCCTAAACCCTTTTTCCTATACCTTAAACCCTACACCCTAAACCCTTTAAGCCCCAAGCCCTCCACCAGAATGCTTCTGCAGATGTCTGAGGATTCCAACCATGGCCTCACGCGCCTCAGGCGCCGAGGCCGCTGGCGCCAGGTCTGGGCCTGAATGTGTCTCAGGGTTTATGTAGGGTTTAGGGTTTAGGGTTTCGGGTTTCGGGCGTTTGGGGCGTTTGGGGGGTTTGGGGCCTGAGGAGTGGGGTGGGGCTTTTGGGTTAAAGGCAGCTGGGTGCTTCATGGCTTTTGTAGTTTAGGGCTTTGTAGAGTTTGTTGGGGCTTCAAAGGGCTTAGGGCTTCAGAAGTTTTAAGGGGCTTTTGCAGTTTGAAGGGCCTTTCTTGGTTTGAGGGGTGTTCAACTGCATGTTGTCTTAGGGTTTAGGTTGGCAATTAGGGTTTAGGGCTTTATGGGCTTGCGGGTTTTCAGGGTGTTCCGGGTTGTGGGTTTTCAGGTGTTTCAGGGCTTTGAACGGGTTTCAGGGTTGAACGCTTTTAGGCCTGGGCTCCAGAAGTTTCATCAATTAGGGTTTAGGGTTTAGGGTTTAGGGTTTAGGGTTTAGGGTTTAGGGTTTAGGGTTTAGGGTTTAGGGTTTAGGGTTTAGGGTTTCGGGTTTCGGGTTTCGGGTTTCGGGTTTCGGGTTTCGGGTGTTTCAACAGCAGTGTGTGCAGGGATTTAAGTTAACGATGCTTAAGGTTGACTGAGCGTGTCTGTTGCTGGACGCCTCAAACCCAATCTTGAGATAGTTTAGCTTATCTTAGAGTCTTGCCTCGTCTACATGCGGAAAAACATACCATAGTGGAGGGCCCATGATCTATCTCAAGCCCATGTGGCACATTTGGTAGCTGATGGGTTTGTTGATGCTGGGATCCTCACGTCTACAGCCAGCCTGTAGCTCGGCCTTTGAGCTACGGCTGTTCTCTGCTTGCATGTGGTGATGCTTGAATGTGCAGTCTGCCCTGAATCGCAAGCTGCTATACAAGGTAGGCAGCTATGTCGGGGTGTTTCAATGTTTCAACATGCTAGCTAGGTAGGTCAGGGATCGATCACATCGCATCATGGTGGCAGCCATCAGGCCCAAACCCCAGCCCAGCTCGTCTCTGTCGCACCACGGACCGTGCAGTCATGCTGTGTGTGCGCTGGGCCTCTGGGGAAGCGAGGCTGAAGAGCGCAGTGGCTTTGGGTGTTGCAGTTAGGATCTCCATGGCCGGGAGTGAGGGCAGGTTTTTTGTGTGTTTTAGCAAGAGTGCGACTCCCCCTAACCTTTTGACCTCAGGAGCAAGTAACCGCGGAACCTCTGGAAGACTTTCCCGATGTCAAGAGCCTGAAGCAACGCTTGCAGAGGCCGCCCGAAGGGCTTGCGAAACCCCCTGGCTCTTCAAGGTTCAGGTAAGGTTCACGTAAGAAAGCTTCACAGGTTCCGCCTGGTGGGGAGTGCGGAACATGTGACACGCCTAAACCCTAATCCCCAAGCCCTTGACCCTAAATACACCCTAGACCCTAAACCTCAAACCCTAAACCCTAAACATAAACCCTAGATCCAAAACCCCAAGCCTGCGCCTTGGGCCTGGAGGCTATGCGGTCTGCCCCGGTTTCGGCAAAGGCTGCTGCGGGAGGGTGCGATATTGGAGGAGAGAGGTTTAGGGTTTAGGGTTTAGGGTTTAGGGTTTGGTCCACTAAACTGACTGTTTCAGCACCTGCTGCTATGATGATGATTCCGATGGATTATTCTGACGATTCTGCTTTTCGAATATGACTATGGTTCTACGATTACGCTCATGGTTGCACTTACATTCTGATTTTCAGCATGTTGAAGATATTTCTGGTTTTGACTATTATGATTCTGACGGTTATGCTCAGAAGCAGCATGGTTAGAAGTATGCCGATTTCGGCACCCACCCCAATTAGCCCACCAGCGAAGGACAGCTGCCAACTGGATGCACCTGGTGACTTGCAGCTGGTACTCCTGGGCTTCCGAGACATCCCCGACTCGGGCGCAGCTGAGATCGTGACTGCCGTGGTGCACGGCTGCGTGTCATGGGTTTTTCAGCTTTTGATGGAGCCGCAAGATCCAAACATGATCCATGGCCGCACCATGTTCGTCTATATTATCGGTATTGGTGAGTGCATTTAGGGTTCCTTATCAATGTGGCTATACAAGCCATCTGACCCTACTTCACATGTTCCTGAAGCGACGCCCCAATGCAACCGCTGAACCCGGAGTTTTTCTGTTCAGAGGCCAGGGGTGTGGGGGCGTGGGGGGTGGGGGTGGGGAGGGGGGTGGCGTGGGGCGGGGGTTGGCGGGGCGGGGGGGGGGGTGGAGGGTCTGAACTTGGGATACCCCTTGCGAAACGCTGCAAGATGCTGCAAAACCCGAACTGCAGCCCAACAACTTATTTTATGGTTTCAGGGTTTCAGGATTTAGGGTTTTAGGGGTTTAGGGGTTAGGGTTTAGGATTTTAGGGTTTCAGGGCTTTAAGGATTTCGAGTTTTAAGGGTTTTAGGGTTTTAGGGTTCATGTAGGGTCCAAGCCCGTGCGAAGGAACTTCGGCAACGGCCAGAGGCTGCTTCAACTTGCAGCGAAGGCCAAGGGACCAAAGGAGGGACCCTTACAAGGGACGTAGGGTCGGGGCTCCTTAGGCAATATAGGACGATAACAAGGTATACATAGGGGAGTAAGATTCAGGGCCCCTTCTAGGGGTCCCTCCTTAAGTGGGGCTTTCCCCAATTGAGGGTACCTTCTTGAGGTCCTAATGATAAGGGAATCCTACTATCTGGGAGAACTAAGTTAGTGTTTAGGGTTTAGGGTTTAGGGTTTGTTATCAGGGACTCCTATTGGGGGGGGGACAAAAATTCGGGGTTCCCTATTTTCGTAACCCCCCCCCCCAAATGCCTCAAGAAGGCCGGTCGCTCGGATGTGGTACGCTTGCTTCTGGAGGCTGAAGCAGACCAGGCGCGGGGAGCTGTTTTTTTTTTTTTCTCCTCCGGTTCGGGTTTAGGGTTTAGGGTCTAGGAATTAGGCTAAGGGATTAGGGTCTTGGGTTTAGGGTTTTAGGGTTCCAGCTTTTTTTACGTGGTTTCTTAGGGTTTTCCAACCTAAGGCTTTGAGGATTTTGGGGCTCAGGGCTCTGGACCCGAGAGTCTGAGAGCTTATAGACTTCAAGGTTTTGGGCTTGAGGGCTCCTCAACGAGGGTTTAAGGGGTTGGAGGCTTAGGGTTTGGGGTTTAACCCTAAACCCTAAACCCTAAAACCCAAAACCCTAAACCCTAAACCCTAAACCCTAAACCCTAAACCCTGAACCCTAAACCCTAAATCCTAAATCCTAAACCCTAAACCCTAAACCCTAAACCCCCCTGCCCCCTCCCATAAGAACCCTCTCACAGGAGCTAGTTGATGGCAGCGGCCGCACTGCCCTGTCTTGGGCCGCCGGCAAGGGGCGCCTGGAGACAGCGTGCCTATTGCTGGAAGCCAAGGCCAACATGGACGTTGTTGATCAGAAGCTCAGATCTTGAGCAGAGTGAAGGGTTTAGAGTTTAGGTTGGAGGCTTCAGGGTTTAGGGTTTAGGGTTGAGGGTTTTGGGGTTTAGGGTTTAGGGCCAGGATGAGTTGTTACACCCTACTTGCCCCCAAAGGCACTCTTTGTAGGCTTGGCTTGCAGGATCAGGATTCAGGCTGGGCAGGGGGTGAATAATCTCGTTCTCTGTCATTTGCCCTGGTGCCTCTTTTACAACTGACTGAGACAACTATCACAGACAAAATCCTCACAAAAGTCACGAAGTGTGGAAGTAACTTCAGTATACGCTAAACCCTGTACCCTATACCCTCTAATTACCCTAAACCCTAAACCTTTCTGCTTTTTTTGATGGAAGGCCCACCGTACACCGCTATGCCTATATGCATTTATTTCTGGAGGAGCAACGGCTATACTATGACGATTATTCCCTCGATGCAACAGTATCTGTATCAAAACAAGCAGAAAACGCGAGTGGCCGGGTTAAAGCAAACGAAAAACCACAATTTTGCAAACTCAGGTGCTAGCTTTTGATTGAACATTGCCAAGCAGAAACTACCAAACACATATGATATCAGAAACACGCACATGAATCATGAATACAATTCCCAACCTAATCTACGTCACCTTCAGTCTTTGAGCTCGCAAAGACAGGCCGAGAGAGAGGATAACAAGACGGCGCCACAGAAATCGATGCATCTCTTAAGTGGCCTCCACTGGTCCAATACTTGCCAGATCTGAGAGCCAGATTCTATGTACAGGGTGAAGTGCTGCATTGGTGCAGAACCATGTGGTTGATTAGATGTAATGTCTTTTCGCGAGCCCGCAAAGATAGACAGATCCCAAAGGTCCCTTTCTCTCTCTCTCTCACAGACATGTGTGCAAAACACGGAACTTATTTGGTTTGCATTCTATCGGTACATAAGTGTGTAATATCATTTCTTGGATTCCTGAAACGCCGGACCCACCCCCAGGGCCCGAAAAAAACCTTTAAGTTTTCACAAACACCGCTCAGAAGCCCCCAAAGCCCGAAATCCCGAAACCCGAAAGCTGCTTTGCTCACCTAGGGTTTAGGGTTTAGGGTTTAGGGTTTAGGGTTTAGGGTTTAGGGTTTAGGGTTTAGGGTTTCGGGCTCAGGCACAACTTGACAGCGCTGATGTGGGCCTCACAGAAAGGTCACGCCGAGGTGGTGGGCCTGCTGTTGGATATGGGGGCCGACCAGGACTCCTTTGCAGGGTTTTCAGGGGTTTGGGGTTTAGGGTTTGAGGGTTAAGGGTTTAGGGTCTAGGAAGTTTAGGGTTTAGGAAGTTTAGGGTTTAGGGTTTAGGGGTGGTTTAGGGGGGGGGGGTTTAGGGTTTAGGGTTTGCAGGGTTTGCAGGGTTTGCAGGGTTTGCAGGGTTTTGGGGCTTTAGGGCGCAGGGTTTGAAAATATTTTTTAGACTTATATTGCCCTTATCTCCCCAATAGAATCCTTAATAAAGGCCATAGACAATTTGAAGAGGGCCCCCACACTTACCCCGGTGTGAGGGGTCGCGTACTCGGTTGCGAGCTGTAGGACCTGACCAACCTCCACGGCAAGACGTCTCTTGCAATGGCAGTCCAGAGAGGTCCCACCGAAGGGCTTAGGTTTTAGGGCTTAGGGTTTAGGGTTTAGGGCTTAGGGGTTTAGGGTTTAGGGTCTAGGGGTCCAGAGAGGTCACGCCGAAGTTGTGCGCTTGCTGCTGGAGGCGGGTCTTGACAGGGACACGCCAGAGCCTAGGTAGGTTTTGGGGACATTTTTATACTTCCCCTTCTTTGGGTATTAAGAGGATCATATTCAGGAATAGTTTTCAGAGGTTTTTCAGGGCCATCCTAGGACTACAAGGGCAGGTGCTCTCTCTTCTGGGCGGCCATAGAAGGACGAGTGCAGGTTGCAAAGTTCCTCATCCAAGCCGGGGTTCACGCGCACATGGTCGACGACGACGGCATGACACCGCTCTTGTGGGCCACTAAGAGAGGCCATACGGAGGTCGCGTGCCTGCTGCTGAAAGCCAAAGCAAGTGTGGACTTTGTGGCCAACAACGCAAAGGGAAGAAGTGCCTTGGGCGTGGCGTCTGCAAGGGGCGACGTGGGCTTCATGCAGCTGCTGCTGGGGGCCGGAGCCAGCAAGGACTTGGCTGACCAGAGGGGCATAACTGCTCTGATGAGGGCATGTGCAGAGGGCCACGCGGAGGCCGCGCGTCTGCTGTTAGACATGGCAGCCGATCCAAACGTTCCCGACCTCCAAGGCAAGACAGCCCTTATGAAGGCAGCAGGCCAGGGTAGTCTGGACCTTGCACACCTCTTGCTGGATGCGGCGGCTGACAGAGAGATGGCTGATTACAAGGGTCGAACTGCCTACACCTACGCAAAGGCGCAGGGCCACTTTGAGGTTGCGGACCTGGTTGCAGACAAACGCCACTGCCACTCGGCAGCCCATTTGGTGCTTCCCTTTTTGTGTTCTCTGGTTTTGCTCTAAATTCATAAGTATCCAGCCCCCAAAAACAAGGGCACCCTGACTGTAGCGTGGTGAACTCAGGCCAAAAGACGTGGTTGGCACTGGAGGGTGGCATGGTTTCCTGGTGCTCGCAGAAGTGGCCATGCGGACTCAGCACCCTCGAGATGGTGATGTGACGAATTCGGTGCAAGTGCCGGACAAGCGATATGGGGTCTTTCCCAAAAGAGAAGGGTCCTCCTTAGATACCCCCAGAATACGACTAGAACTACTCATTATAAGGAACCCCCCAAAAAAAGGTATCCCTGTTTTTGGGAAGCCCGATATCGATCCCGGACCTCTTTCGGGCGCGGGATCAACAAAATATGCCAGAGACTCCGCCAAGTCCTCAGGGTTTAGGGTTTAGGGTTTAGGGTTTAGGGTTTAGGGTTTAGGGTTTAAGGTTTAGGGATCCCTACAAGAAAGGCCCCGAATTGGGTTAATTCGTGTATTCAAATTTGTTTCTAGTTTCTTTCCCCGGGGGGTGGGGGGTGGGCATGTGGTTAACGTTCATACGGTGGTCCCAAAGGAAGTCTCGCGCAGGTCTCGCTTGAGAGTCTTTCTGCCGGGGTTCCACCCCCCTCTATACCCTACAAATCCTATAACCCTACACCCTACAAACCCTATAACCCTGTTAGCCGAAAGTAAGCCCCGAACCCGGGTCTCTGCGTGTAAAGAGATTGGGAGTGCAAATGGATGCATGATCGTTTAGGAGACTTCTCGGGTTTTAGGGGTCTATATCAGGGACCTGGATCCTTACTCTCGTGTCCCCTTCCCGACCCTAACCCCTGAAACCCTAAACCCCAAACCCTAAACCCTTGACAGTAACTCAACTTCAAGGCTCACGGGTAGCAGAACGTGCCCCAATACTTGTAGCGGCCCGACTGACAGTCCCGCGCCTAAACCCTGAACCCTAGACCCTAAACTCCAAACCCCAAACCCTAAACCCTAAACCCTAAACCCCAAACCCTAAACCCTAAACCCTAAACCCCAAACCCCAAACCCTAAACCCTACCCCCGGAAACCTCTCGAAGTGAGATTTAGTCGCTTTAGGCCCAAGAGGCATTCGGCGCGCTGCGCCAGAAGGGACTCCAGCAGCTTGGTGTAGGGGCTAGGGCGGTTAGGGTTTCTCAGGGTTTTCTCAGTTTTTTCTCGGGGTTTTCTCAGGGTTTTCTCGTTTTCTCAGGGTTTTCTCAGGGTTTTCTCAGGGTTTTCTCAGGGTTTTCTCAGGGTTTTCTCAGGGTTTTCTGAGGGTTTTTTCAGGGTTTTTTCAGGGTTTTCAGGGTTTTCAGGGTTTTCAGGGTTTGGGGTTTAGGGACCCCTACACCCTAAACCCTCAAGCCTTTCACCCTCAACCCTGCACCCGTTCTTAGTTAGTTGGTTGCGGCTTTTTTTCGGATTTTGGGGGTGCGTGGTCGGGTGGGTGGAGCTTTGGCCTTGGTATGTCCCTCGGCTTTTGGATTGGCGTGGTGGCCGCAGGCTTTGCGGGGGAGGGGGGAGTGAAAGGAACCTTATAGGGGCCCGTAACATAGAAGCTCCGCATTAAACCCTACAGAGGAGGGCTTACAGACAAGGTTATAACCGTAGTTGCCCTTGTTATAACGTTCAGTTCCAGCGGCCAGGGCTTCGAGTGAACCGTTTCTCTTCTTGGAAGTCTTGTTTGGGGGCATCATATGTATACTGTAGGTTTAGAAAGTGAGACGTTACAGGAGTTACAATCTTAATATCCTTACCAGCTGGCTCGAAAATCCTTAATTGGTTTTTACATATCTTGGACATCCACCATTATTCACCTTAGAATTAGTTTTGTCTTCTTCTCACATCTCTTGTTTATGAATGTTTACTTTTGTGGTTCTACAGGAAAAAGTCTTGGAAATGCTGCAGTAAATCTTGGATTACATGATACAGATTATGTTGTAGCAGGTTTTCATTTTGTTCTTTCTTTAGGAGCTATAATTTCTATCTTCTCTGGAACAATTTTAATGGAGAGAAAAGATTGTTGGGACTAAGAATTCCTTACTTTCATCCTCTAGTACACCTTCTCTTTTCCATCTACATTGAACATGTACTGGTACTACCTTTTCCCCAGTGCATTTCTTAGGATTTAATGCGTCAGGTCCTAGATGTCAAAGTGGGCGTTTCGGAAATTCGGGGTACAGTACCTGAATGGAGTCCTTCTGATAAGGGAACCCTATTATTTGGGGTCTATATAGGGGTCCCTTAATTTCGTAAACCCCATGAATCCCCCCCAAACCCCCTCAATCCTCTAAACCCTTTAATTTACCTGAATATCCTGAGTCCTTGAAATTCCCGAAACTTACCCCAAACCCTAAATCCTCAAATCTTACCCCAAACCCTAGAGCCTCAAATCTTACCCCAAACCCTAAATCCCCTACACCCTGCGAAGCCCCAAACCCGGACCAGGCCCAATGTTTTCAGCTACAGCATCGCCATCTCGGCGCACGCCTTTCGT